ACTTATGGCTACTGGGAGAGGGAGAGTCAGTCTCTTTTAAGAATGTGATTCTTGGTAGGTTACCCAGGGACGAACCAACACTGAAGGACATTTGGGGGACACAAATTAGACTCTATAGGCCTTATCCATATAATAGAATACACTAAATTGGATGGGGAGTAGTAAGAGGAGGTGCAGATAGGGGAGGGGATCTAAATATGATCAAAATATATTGTATGGAAGCCACAAAAATTCAATTAAAAAAAGATCTTAAAAGTTTAGCTTCTCACAAGGACGTGCCTATAATTTATTCTAGAGGAGAAAGGAACATTAGAACAACAGGTGCCAGTATTATAGATCAGGAAATTTCAGATAAGAGGCACAAAAGTTGGAATTTATAATGCTCTTTATGGAACTCCATGAAATATTAATATATAGTAGGTCTTGGCATTCAAAAATTTAACATTCTTGGATTCAATTATTTATGAATGATCCCCAAAATCCATTACATGCAGTAATTTTTAAGTTTGCTGATATGTAAATTTGAACTGTGCCAACTCCAAAGCTCATGAGCTGGAGCAAGACACTGACCTGGTGGTAAGGGGATAGGAAAGACAGGTGTTCCCTACGGCAGGCAAGAAAAGCAGGGCTTCCATTTTACTAAGCATCCTCTGCTGCTTATTTCTCAAGATATGATGGACATGAAGGATTAAGTATGGGAGGCTACAGATTCCTGATAACGGAACACAGACCCCCTACAAAATAAAAACGTATGTCAAAGACCAGGGAGCATGGAGCTAGTGGTCCTTGTAGGAAGACTAGAATATACTCTTAAGGCTACTAAGTAATTTATTAACTTGTCTGGTGAGTCCTTCCCTGCCCTGAAACCATCTGAATTTTAATGTATTGCAAGGGACAGGACAAAGAACTTCCCTTTAACATAAATTCAAGAAGATAGTTTGCTGTTTTCAGCTGCCCTTAACAGGAATGTCTCTGCTGATAAATTGCCAATTCCATTAATGTCTTGCATGATAATAATGGAAATAGCCCAATCTCCAAGCCCCAGCCTCATACCTGAGGCTCAGACTGATATATTCAAACATTAGCTAAACATTTCCCCCTCAGTAGTCTATGCACCTGAAACGAAAACATCAAAACTGAAATCCCACCTCTGCATTCGCTACCATGGTTTCTGTCAACACATTTTATCCATTTGTCCTAGCTGGAAGCTTGGAAGGGTATCTTTATCCTTCCTCCCTTCCCCAGATCTGAGCATTGAGTACTCAAGTTCTGGTTCTTAGATGTTTTTCTAGACTGGTACCTCTTCACCATTCTTAACTGGTTCAAAGTATCTGAATTTCTTGATCATGTCAATATTATGGTTATGGGGCAGGGAAGGACTTATTGGACAAGTTACTAAACTACTTAGTAGCCTTAAGAGTATATTCTTGTCTTCCTCCATGCTCCCTGTTCCCTGAAGTATCTTTTTATTTTGTAGGGGATCTGTCTTCTGTTATCATGAATGTGTAGCCTCCCATACTTAAACCTTCACATGTCTCTCAAATCTTAAGAAATAAACAATAGTTAAGCATCAAAATATGAAGCTGTCCAAAATCCCAAACACTTTGAGCATCTTGTCAGTATGCAAAAAGTTTCATAATTTGAGGTATTTTAATTTGTGGTTTTGGATTAGGGATTCTCAGCCTGCATTTGTTTCTCCCTGGCTTTTCTACCTGCTAGCTCATCTACCTGGGACCTCCCAATTTTCTTTTTTTCTTGGTCTTTTTGAGACAGGGTCTCCCTGTAGTCCCAGCTGGCCTGGAACTCTCTATGTAGACCAAACTGGCCTTGAACTCACAGAGATCCTCCTGCCTTTGTCTCCTGAGTGCTGGGATCAAAGGAGTGTGTCACCATGCCCAGCCCTTCTAACTTTCTATAACCAAAAAATGGACTAGAAATGACACTACACCAATTCTAGTCTTAGGCCTTAAAACATTTGGCAGCTTTTAGATTTACCCTCTTGGGATTCAGTATTAAGTAAAGGCATTTAGTTTAGACTTCCTAATGGTAAGTGGAAGGAAGGCAGTCCAGCCAGCCTCTAGCTATTCCATCATGTCCTGCTGAGGCTCCATTCATGTGAACAAAGCCGCTTAGCATGTGCCAGCACAAGCTAATACCAAAATGTCATGAAATAAGTGCCCAGCTGAGCCCAGCCAACCCATGGGATTATAAGAAATATTATTGTTGTCCTAAGATATCAAGTGTTGGGTTTCCTTTTGTCACATCAAGAGGTAACTAATAATCTTATAATACTCTTTTAGTAAAATTTGTTCAATTAGGCTTCCTTCCACTTATGACAGTCCTGATTATGTAAAAGAAATATTACTGCCTTAATCTGTTCTATGCTATTGTAACACAATACCATAGACTGGGTATTTTCTAATTCACAGAAATTTATTTTCTCACAGTTTGGGGTTTTGAGAAGGCCAAGGTAAGCTGCTAGCATCTGATATGGGATTTCCTACTCTGTCCTCACAGGTCAGGAGGTAAGAGAGAAATGTATTCTGTCATAGTAGGAGGCATGAGAGGTGAACACTGTGTCCTTCTGTAGCAGAAGGGCAAAAGAACGAACCCACTCCTGCATCCTTTCACATAGCAGCTTAATCCACATGTGAGTGAGGAGCCCCACTGAGCTAACGCCTCCCAATGCTGGAAGATTAATTTCATATGAATTTTTAGAGGGGACAAAAACATCCAAGCCACAGCAATGATCCTTTTCATTAATAAAGTCAAGAACCCTCACTTTTCCTCCTGAGTTTGACAATTGCATAACTAGTAAGGAGCTACAGAGTTCTTACATAAGAACTGATGAAAATCACTGACTCCTACCAAACAATGAACAATAGACATCATGAAGAGCAGTTACTAGAGTTACAAGACTCTAGTATATAGTCTAACGTGCACAGTAGAAAAATCTATTGTACACAAAAGATCTACTTTTCAGATGAGGTTCCTAACAACATGACCTTCAGCTTCAGTTTCCTCTGAGGTGCTGGAAGATAGGACATCAACAGTTATTTCTGAGGCAATGTTCAAATTGCAAGAATATATTTGAGATATTACTTATAAACAGGTACCATGGACTAAATCAGTTAGAGTATCAGGAAGAGCCAGAAGGCTACTCTAGTCTCTCCTAAGAAAATGTAATCAGTTCTTTCCAAGTGAATTGTCTACTCTGCAGTTGTGGTCAACTACTGTGTCCTTTATAACTAATTGGCAGCCTCCACATATTAGACTAGCTGGGTGAGGACAACCTATTGTGTCTCTCACATTGAACTCTCTCACCTGTTCTTTACTTTGGCCACTCCCTCAGGACTGGCTGCTCTCTCCACTGATAAGATGACTGTGAAAACTAGACAGACATGGAATGTGGGCTTGGACAGGGCTGGCATGGTCCTTCAGCCTCAGCCATGTTCTCTGACCCAACTTCACCAGAGAGCCCAGCAGAGAAGTTATGAAAGCTTGAGCCTTGTTTCTACTGAGCAAAGAAAGGTAAAGCTCCCCCAGGAGCCTTAAGAGAAGAACAATTAGCCAAGTAGAACTTCTTGGTTGTTCCTGAATTTATAATACTCTCTTGATGTCATCAAAATCCTACAGTCTCTTGAATGGCTTGGATCTACTTATTGTTTCTCTCTTACCTATTAAGATATTTCTTGGGGGCTGGAGAGATGACACAGTGTTTACGAGCACTGATGGGTCTTGCAGAAGACCTGGGTTCAATTCCCAGCAACCCACATGGTGCTAACAACTGTCTGTTACTCCAATTCCAGGGGATCCAACACCCTTTTTGGACCTCCGTAGGCACTGCTCAACATGGGTGCACTTACATACATGCAGAGAGTAACTCACACACATGAAATAATAATAACAATAATAAATTTTAAAAAATTTCTTAAAGTTTTTTTAGTTAGAATAAATGTAATGAAGCATATATTACATATTCTCCTTGGAACAAAATAAGTTCTTATAAAACAGGCAACGTGAACTGAGATGCTCAGGGTTCAAATGGAATATATAAACACTCAAAGTTCATATAAGTTTTAATTTAATAAACTTTGAAGGCAAATATACATGAGCCAGAATTCATTTTATTTTCATTTATTCAACTTGACTCCATTAGTAAGCAATGGAGTCAAGTCTGAGAGACTGGACCCAATTCTCTAGCTGGAAGAGAGGTGCCAGTGACAGGCAGGTTTCTCTCTGGGGGAAGAGGCGGGCGATAAGGTGGGATATAAGACTGACCTATGGGAAAGCTGCTGACATTTCAATGATCCCAGCACACATCCTTCCAGGATAAGACCAGTCCTTCTTCCTGAGACCGATAGACCCACAGAGCTAAGCCAGTAGCCTATTAGAGCCATGAAAACTGTTACCTTAAGCCACCACTCTCCAAAGAAGAAAAATGCCTCAACTTTCTTCCTAGGACCATCTCTATTCTTCTCTCTTTTCAAAAATCCATCAAATGAACAAGCTTCATTTCCTTTAAATACTCAATGTCAAAGAATACCAATTCAGCCAAATCTTTCTACCATACTGGTAAAAACTGAAAGTTTATAAATACCATAAGACCCACAGCAGAAGTGTCTTGTGACTAGCTGTGAAAAACCACACCATACTTCATAGATACTCAAAGCAGGTGGTTACAAATGACAGGGAACAGAGCAACCAGGTTTTCAGAATGGAGGCCAACCTAAGACCAGAACCAAGTCTCCATTTATTTCTAGTCTGAAATTTCTACAACACAAATTCTCCCTCTATATTAAAAATTAGTTTCAGTATGGTTAAAAAAATTTGAGCTAGTTTTTATCTACAGAAACTCAAAAATAAAAAGCACTTTGTGGTTTTTGATATATTCAGCATATGATTAATTTCTATCACTTGATCTCAGCCAAAAGATTGAGTTAATTCCTATCTCAAATACCACACAAGGAAAATTAAAAAAAAACATATCTTTTAATCACCTTGGATGAATCAACAGGCCTTTCTTGATCATAATTTTTGCATTTTTTCCCAGCATCTTGTTCTGCTGACACATTTTCTGAATTTCCTGATGAAATTAACCACTTTCTTCCTTGCCATGTTACATTGACCGGGGTTTTATCTTTGCAGGTTCCTTCTTTTCCACACCTCTGCATGACATTATCTAATATATACACAAACATACACATATAAAGAACAAGAAGAAAATTACCTTCTGTATCTTCAAAGGTCAATATTCCATGATAATAAACAAGCCAGTAAAATCTGGGGCTTGGGAGATAGTTCAGGGATGAGAGTTCTGAATTGGGTCCTCAGCACCCACATGGAAAAAGCAAAAAAGCACAGCTTATGGACCTGTAACCACAGCACTATGGGAGATGGGGATGGGGGATCACTGGAGCTTGATGGCCAGTCAGCCATGAGTTCCAGAGTCAGTGAGAGACCTTATCTCAAAAGAATATGACTAGGAGTGATAGAGCAGGACACTAAATGTCCTCCTCTGGCCTCCATGTGTGCACACATGGGCACACACAGCTGTGTACATATGACCACACATACATATGCCACACACAGAGAGCAAGTATAATCAATATTTCATTTAAGTAATGCTAACTTGGAACCATTTATTTACAAATCCCAAAAAGTATTAAGCATCACAGTGGCCAAAAAATCCAGCCCTGGCATGTGCCAGGTCAAAATGCCTGTGTGAGAGCCCATCTTAACTGTTTCCCTGCATTGCTGCATGCTGTTTGCATCTGCAAAGTGAAAATTACAATAACTTATGGAGTCATTAGAAGTAAATGAGATAAGACACATGAAATAATCTGACACAGTTAAATTTTTTTAAGTTATAGCGTTGAGTTTCTCTAAGAAAAATCTGTCACAGTAACCCAATGAACTTTACATACTGAATGCCTACCATCTAGTTAGACATCCAACTTAAGTTGTCTCAAATGCACAGAAGAACTCCAAAGAATTCAAAAAGAGAAGAACCTCTATAGACTGTCAATAAAATAAGTCATGAGCAATGGACATTGTATCCACATACTACTCAAAGTTCAATGTAGTTGGTAAACCTAAGTCAGTATCATATTTTGTTAATACATTCTTAAAACCTCTAATCAGAAAATATGAAACCAACTGTTTGCTCTAAGAGGACAGTATCTGTGACTAACTGTGTCCTCTACATTGGAGTGATAGCTTCACAAGGGCCAAGACTTTATGAGGCTTGCTTACTATCTTCTCCTTGGGGCTCCAGGACCTAAAAATGTGTCTCATAAAATGTGCTCAATATTTCTGACTAAATGAACTATGAATATAACCAGAATTTGTTATGAGTCTCTTGAGGGCTAGGATATAGCTATGTAAACATCTGTAGTCACTATTGATCTAACTAACAGAGGTGTTAGTAAACTTCTAGAAAAAGAATACGCAGTTCAAGCTTTGTGAGCCGTAGAGTACCTGTTACCACTACCCAACTCTGCTTCCCAACATAAGAATAAACATCCACCAGATCCAGACTTACAAAATAGGTAGTGGACCAAATCTGCTTCATGGGCACTGGTTTGCTTACCCTTATTCCACAGGATATTGAAGTGGCCCAAAATAGTACTCCATCCATAAATTCAGGAAAGAAATGACAATGGAATACTGTGTATATTACCATTAGGAATATCAATTAAACCAAAATAGACATAATTTATAGTAGTCATCTTTCACCTAGTTTCACTTTCCCCAGTTTTACTTACTATCAACCACGGAAATAAAGTTCATTCATTTCAAACTGCCTGCTGTTCTGAATAGGATGATGAAATCTATACTGTTCTGCTCCCTCCTTCTTGAACACAAGTCACCTTCTTGTTTAGTATATCAACACTGTGCATTGACAGTCACTTAGCAGCCATCTTGGTTATCAGACCAACTGCTATACTACTGTTGTAGTATTTGTATTCAGGCCACCATTATTTTATTTAACAATGTCTCCAAAACACAAGAGTAGTGGTACTGGCAAATTTTGTACTAGAATGTTTGTACCTTCTCAAAATTCCTGTTAAAGCTTTAATCTCCAATGTGATTGGTACATAGAAGTGATAACTTTGGGAAACATTTAGGTCATTAGGATGGGGCCCTGGTAAGTGGGATTACTTCCACTTAAAGTGTAAGAAGGTACCAGATCTCACATTCTGTCTGTCACATGAGATTATAGAAAGGCAGTCATCAGCAAGTCAGGAAGAATACAACCACGCTGGCACCTTGACCTGCAATTTCTGGCCTCCAGAACTGTGAGAAGCAAATGTTACTTACCTATGGTACTCTGTTATAGAAGGCAGAGCTAAGACAAATGCCTCAGAAAACAGAAGAACACTCTCAATGCATCCTATCAGACCACTAATTACATTAAGACAAAAAAGTCTTTATACAAAATAAAATTATAGCTCAATAAAACTTAAACCAGTAATAAAAAACCCTTAATAAATAAAAGGAATACGTAAAAAAGGAATGATCTGCTGAGAATGTATCTGAGGTGGAGCGCTTGCCCAGTATGTGAGGCCCTGAGTTCAATGACCAGCACTAGAAAAATAAAAGGCAATATATCATAGTCAAATGGTGAAATGGGTTTATCCAAGAATGCAAAGTTAATTTAATATTCAAAATTCTATTGATACAGGAAAAGCACTTAACATTCAACATTCATTTAAGAAAATTGATAAAAAATAAGAAGCAGAAAAGAACTTCTTCAATCTGAAAAATACAGGAAAACTTACAAACATCAAGCTTAATGGGGGAAAAGGCTACTTCCTGATTATCAGAACAAAGAAAATACGTGAGCTATCACAAATTTTTGTCAACATTGCACCAGATCCTCCAAGACAATGCAATTTAGATAAGAAGAGAAATGGGGGTGGGGGGAAGCAAATTGTAAAGAAGTAAACGCTCTCTACACAGACAATATTAATATTGTTTATCAGGAAATCCCAGAACATCTCCACAACCAGCTGTCAGAAGTAACACACAAGTTTAACAGAATCATGGTCTACAATGTTAATATAGTTTAAAACAAACCAATTTTTGCTGTTCTGTTTTGCAGTGCTTGGGACCAAACCCAGGGCCTTGAACATGCCTGTATTGAACAATGAGCAAACGTTTTTAAAACACTGACACGATAGGATACACAGCAGAAAACACAAATCGCTGTGCTGTCTGCTGCAATGGTGGAGTGCAACAGGAACGGGATGTATCTCCTTGAATCTCCCAGCTCAAAAACTGTGACCTGGCATTGTGCATCATTAATTTTACATACTGATTGTGGTGCTCTTTCATCTTAGACGTGACACCAACAGGTTCACTTTAAAATATATATTATATCTAGCAGTAAGATAGTACCTATCATGTGTTCAATAAAATATCAATGAGTAGGACAGTGTTTGATAAATGCCACAAAGTAACAGCTTGTACTTATTTTCATTCACCTATTTTTATTTCATGTGTATGAGTGTTCTGCCTCCATGTATGTAAGTGTTCCCATGCCACACAATGCAGGCATACACATCTAAAAATATCATCTTTGGCTGGCAGGGACAGCAGTACACACTCATAACTCTAGGACTTAGACTGAGTCAGGAACCAAGTTTAAGACCATGTGTCAAAATAAATAAATAAGGTAGAATTTTAAAGTCCCAGGCTAATCTATACCCAGCACTCAATAACAAATTTCTCAGAAAAGCTTCAGTTGTGCTTAATGCTTTCTTGAAATTTGACGTTAGCATAAACAAAAACCTACTTCCACTAATGACGGTTCTTGAATGGTTTTGATCACTCAAATTTTCTCCTAACATCCAAGCTGGGCAGACTCTTCCTCTGGGCAGGGTTTGACTGCTGCTCACTGAAGTCTGTACATTCACTGAAGGACTCAAAGGGTACCTATAGATTAATTCCTAAACAGAATCAAGCATCCATAATGAATTTGTCAAATTACTTACATTGCAGAAAATTACTATTAACATTTTTATCTCTTAGCTGAAGTGTCAGCCTGGTGTAGTATTCTTTACAGCCTAACTTAAGAGCAGCAGGAACAGATCAATGCCAGGCAGCCATTATGACATGCATGATTTCAATTTTCTTTTCTCTCCCTGAAGTAATTTGAAGAACATGCTAGAAACAGATACTATCTTAAGTTTCTCACCAGACTATCTGTGAGAGGAGACTTGGTCCTGGTTAGTTCCTGTCTTCTTTGCAGCTGTGAGGCACCAGTTGTCCTTCCAGGTAAATTAGGCACAGCAGACTCTGGTGTTTTATACGATATATCTTCTTTATCAAGTACTTGGCTGTTTCTATACAGTAAAACAGAAGTTTGGTCTCAATCAGTTGCAATCATCATACTTCTGAGTATGTCTGACTGGGCTGTTAGGCTCCTTTGGTCAAACTTAAAAAATTAAAAATAGATTATACTGTAGTAGAATAAAATACTAATTAAAATAGTTTTCCTCTTTGGCCACATATTATCATAGCATACTGTATTAGTCAGGGTTCTCTAAAGAAACAGAATCGGTAGAATGAATATATGTGATTTACAGGGATATATATATATATA